GTGAAGCTATTCGTAAAAAGTTGATGCAATTAAGGGTCGACAACACTATAATGAACTGTCACATACTGCATTGATTTTTCTTGAGTTTTTCGCCAAATTTTCAACCAATATCGAGCCGCAACCATCTTATTCACSTAYTTAGCTCCGTGTGACTTCTTGCTATTCAGMAAACTAGATCGACTGCTTCGGGGAAATCATTTTGAGTCAATTGAAGATATTAAACGTGAATCGCTAAGCGCATTGAAGGCTCTTCCAGAAACTGACTTTAACAACTGTTTCGAGGATTGAAAAAAAAACATTAACAATACACTTGTGTGAAGCAAGGGGGATTATTTTAAGGGAAACGACATGGAGTGTGAGGGATAAATTAAGTATTTTAAAATTATGAGCAAAATCTTAATATTTTTTGCTCATAGTAAAATAAAATGCATCGGCTTTGCATATAAACAGTTTCCAAACTCATATAAGGAGACTTATAAACATCGTTCTTTTAGCAGCTATAAATTTCATCACTCTCTGGAATTTTTTTAGGACGAAAATGCTGCATATGATATTTAAAATGCGAATTCCATTATCCAAGTGTCTGATATAACATCCTAACCATCCTAYACACTCCTTGCATGTGGACCAAAATCCACGTCAGTATTTTTCTGTCAACATTAATGGATCTTGCGTCTGTTTAAGCCGAAGAGRGCTAACATTAAAGAAGCACAGATAGTCAAAATACGCATGGAAATTACGTCTAGACCCCCTCGGACCACAGTGGTAAACGCCCATGCTCAACTTTATTGGTGCACTTGGTRGTGGACACAAAAATTCGACTTTTTATTACTTCGACATGTACATACAAATGTATGTATGTATGTATGTACATACATATGTATATGCTACTATGTCCTCTACTCTGCATGTAAAAGAATGGGTTTTCCGCTCAGGCTTGTAATCTTTTTTCACTTTCCTAATATTATTATCATTTTTATTATTTTTTGTTTTTTCTGTTTTTTTTTTTTTTTTTTTTAGTGCACAGTACCAATCACAAATGCAGTCTGCGCTATGCGAAGTGAAATTAAAATCGAAATGGCCACGCGCCTTCGACAGCGACCAGTTTATAGTTGCGTGCAAAGAAATTGTGTTGCAAGTTTTTTTCGACCTTTTTTAAATTGAAATATAATAAGTGACTTTTAGTTTGATTTGATCGGGCAGTTTGTAGAGCAACTGTATATGCTATAGCCATTTGGCTATTCTGACAGGAGACAGGTGACATTTTGTCAGTTTTTTGACAATTTGGCAATTACTTTGAAATTTTAATAATTTACATGACATTTTGACAGTTTGTTTGACACTTTGGCAGCTTTTTTGACATTTTGATAGCTTTTTTGACGTTTTGACAGCCACTTTGACATATTTTGATCGTCACTTTGAAATTTTGACAGTTTACTAGACCTTTGGACAGTTTGGCTGACATTTTAATAGGTTGTTTGACGTTTTGACGGTTTGCTTGACGTGTTGACAGTTTGCCAGTTTTCACATTTTGACAGTTTTTTTACACAGTTTGTTTGGCATTAATGTATTTTTGCATGACAGTGTGTTTAACAATTTAACTGTTTGCTTGACATGTTGATGTTGACAGTTCGTTTGACCTTTTGTCGTTTTTCATTCATCCAGTTTCTTGTACACTCATATATTTTGTAAGATTTTTGCAATCATCATTATCGTCTTTTAATGCCTATACAAAACTATGCAATTATGCCATTTTTAAGCACATATCTGTGCATGTAATGCACACATAGAACTCTTCATAGGAACTGAAATAAACAAACCAGCTTGCGCATTTATTATCAACGTAACAAGCGGATAAGCGCACATATCCGTTACCACCCAGGCGGAATTCCATAAAATGTTTTTGGCATGACATCAGTCATGACATGTCAGTAAGTCATAAATTGTTAGAAATTATAGTACGCATTAAACGCATAAAAGATTATCAGATTGGTAGGAGCAGTAGACAAAAAATATTACAAATACAGTTGTCAGGTGCAGTGGTAAAAGATAATTTAACATGCAAATTTATTTGTGTTTTTTTTTTTTTTTTTGCAATTTTTCGCGCTGTCAGCACAGTTTGAGAGGAACTGTGCGCTGTAATAGTTATAAAAAGCATTCGAGTTGTGTTTACCACTACTAATCGGTTAGTTCGATATAATTTATTCTTTAATATTGGAAATAGTATATCAGTTATGTAAGTGTTCAGGTTCCTAGTTGGTTTGCGATAATTAAAGACACATACGCGAAAATTATCTGACATGTGTTAGCAAGCGGATCTTATTGTACCAAGCAAGAAATTTAGTTAGAGCGAAGATGATATGTGAAGGTGTATAAGAAACTGTGAAGAACCAATCGCGAATTCAGAGGAAGGAAATGGAGAAAACTTATCTTTACATGATTATTTCTTAATTTATTAGGATCTGTCAGTTAAGTATTGTTCATAGACTTAAATAAATAATAAAAAAATAACAATAAAAAAACAGGGTTTTAACCAAAAGTAGGAGTATCGGTTAGTTAACCAGAATTTAACTGACAGTTAGCAGCCATCTGACTGATAGTTACCAGCTATCTATCAGCTAAGTTCTTTTTAACACAATTATTTATCGAAAGCAGGAGTCCCTGTTAGTTAACCAGAACTTAACATACTATTAGCAGCCATCTGACTGACCATTAGCAGCCATTTTCAGTTAATTTCTGGTTAAAAATGGTTCTTTATCGAAAACAGAAGTCTCGGTTAGTTAACTAGAACTTACCCGACAGTTGATCTGTGATCAAACTTTATGAAAACGGTCATAAAACTATTAATTAACATAAAAACAGCACAAAAAACTTTCTCAAAAATTCAATACAATGTTTTCCTACAGGGTATCTATACTAGTTTGTATGTATGTACATAAATAACTTTTGTGAATCGCGAAAATTGTCCATATTTTCAGAAATAAACGAGCGGTGACTTGGCAAATGCACTTTCTTCCCACTATATAGATACAATTATATATATACATACATATCTACAACACAACCTAAATGTGTATTCATGCATATGTATGTATACGTATAGCTGTGTATTTATAAATACAGAAGTGCACGCCCGGAAAATGTGCATATGCAGTTCAGTAAAAACTTGTGTTTCATGCATACACACACCCACACGCACACATGCATGTAATATAATAAATTATTGACCAACAAAAGTTAAGGTCAAAGAAACTGCTTGTGAAGGCCAATCAATTGCAATTAGAGGTGCACCATGAATAAAGTTCTTTGTATTTATGTTTGTAAGTAGCTACTATAATTTCCTTTTTGACGGTCAGAATGCGTAATGACAAAGAAAGACAAGGATAGTGGGCACAATATGSATAAATGAAGTAATGTAGTTTATGAATGTAAATATAGGGAAAGGACGACATACATATACATACATATGTATGTACATTGTACACATATGGTAATTGCATATTTTAGTATGCATGTTAGTTGTTTGCATACATACATTCTTGAAGATATCGCGTCTAATAAAAAAAAAATTTCATACAAGGACTTGATTTTCATCGATCAGTATGTATGATAGCTATATTTTACAGAGGTCCAATATAGCGGATTCCGACAAACAAGCAATTTCTTGGCAATAATAGAGCTTGAGCAAGAGTTCTGACCGATATCTCACAGACTGAAGGTCTAGTTCTCGTACATACAGTATATACCGACAGACAGTTAAATCGACGCAGCTCGTTASACTCATCATTTATATGTGTACACATGTATGTATGTAAGTATTTACGTTTATATATTTATATAGGGTCTCCGATCTTTATTTTTGCGTGGCACAAACTTATTGACATACATAATATATCCTGTTCAAACATGAATATATAAAATTAGATACATAAGCAGCCACATTTCATATAATCGATGAGGAATTTCAAACCTCATATGTATTTCAATCCGCACGCAGGTACACACATATGTATGTATGTATGTATGCATATTTGTCTATATGCACATATGAACAAAACAATACATTGTAAGGAATACGAGTGATTTCCTAAATCAGATTTCATAACAACAGATAAGAAAATAGTTCGAAACCGAAATGCATTTTCATTCAATTTATTATGTCAGTTTGTAAAAGATTATTTCTTTACCTGTCAACTACAACAACTGATAAGGATAGTGCATTGATACTGATCGATACTAATATAATATATAATATGAGCACAGTTATCGATAACTGCGGCGATTGCACTCACAAAGACGAGAAACTAATTATTTATTATTTCAATTATAATAAGTAGGTGATTCAACTATATGACTACATTTTAAAAATATATAACGATATAAAAAATCGGCAGTAATAGACTTACCACTTTTGTTTTGTTCTTTTTATACATGCATACACCACTGCATTAATCCATCACTCACATTACACTGTTTCATTGCCATCGTTCCGTTTTAAAACCGCTACCAACAGCAACTACATTACTTGTGTTTATACATGTGAATTTTCAGCTGGTTATTTAACCATATTCATTTAAAACTGGAAATATGCAAAACTGCACAAATTTATTCCGTATCATGCCAGTGATTGGCAAAAGTTGTCGCGGCATAAGCACTACAACACCACTTGATGGTAAACGTAATTTTCGCAAATTTCAAGTACCCAACAAACGGGGTACACGYAGCGTCAAGGAAGCACAAAAAACACTAGCAAATCCTCCAGTACCTATTGATAAGCGCGGTGTACGGGACACGGGCGTCATGGTTGATGGCAGATTTGTTGAAATTCCAGAACGCATACCCGAATTAATAGTACCGGATTTAACTGACTGCAAGTTGAAACCGTACGTGTCGTACAAAGCACCAGAAGTAATTCAATCAGAGTTTACCAGCTTGGATTTGTTCAATGCTGTTTATTCTAAGAAGATAATTGAGGATTTCAAAGAAGGAAAACTTAATGATGATGGTAGTCCTGTGACACCTTCAAAAGATGAGCAGTTAACTGCTGATGAGGCTTTAATACGCGCACGTAAAACCGGTTCAGATATATTCTAAAGCATATATTTTTATTATTAAAAGCAAATTAGCAGTGGTACCTATACTAACATAAGCTACAATCACTCCTGATAATATCTTTGCCGGTAATTGTATAGTTTTCGTAACCATTTTTCCGCCTTTAAGTCTGCATCACCAATGAACTGTAATGCATAAATAAACTATTTAAATAAAAGTTKTTGCTGAAATTCTATATTTTACTTACATTTGGGTGGAATATTTTCTCATCGGCTTTGGTGTCTTTTGATGCATCGGTAGGTTTTGGTAACTTCACTGTTTCCGATTCCAAATCAATAATCACCTTTTCCGGTATTGGCTTCTTTTCTGGAGCTTCTCTATCACGTGTGCTAAAAAATGTTTTTGGTTGAAACGCCTCCTCCTCAATGGCGTCCAAAGCCTTTCGCACCTGTGCGTCAATAGCATCTATACCTTTGAGGGTAGCAACGGCCAATGAAGCGGACGCTGTTGTGCGTGAATTCTCTTCTGAACTAGGTGCACGCGTACTTCGTGCTTGTGAACGGGATTTGTGTGAATTTCGACTGCTACGACTAGCTACAGAATAACTAGAGGAGGATGATGAGCTGCTACTGCTTGGACTGCGTCTTGAGTATTTTTTTGACTTCTTCGATTTTTTGCTTTTTTTCGAACGACTGCTACGGGAATGTGATCTGGATTTTGAACGATATTTCCGTGCGTAGTGACGATCTCGGTCCCTTTCCCTATCTCTCTCGCGGTCACGATCTCGTTCACGTTCACGATCCCGTTCCTTATCTCTATCTCGTCCACGATCTCGATCGCGATCTCGGCGAGAGCTCTTGGATTCACTCTCCCGCATTATTTATTTTAGAAATATTTTTTACCGGCAAAACACARTATTCGTTGTATGTGGACAAAAATTGGTTCAGAAATACATTGTCATTCAATGTTGCCATATTTTTTTACGTTACGAACTGTTTGTAGAATCTGTTTGGCACATTAAGTCAAATATAGGTATACAATGTTTTTCTCAAGTGAGGCACAATTTATGTATAACATTTATTAATAAGCAACATATACAGTATTATATATTTTAATTGAATCCTTAAAGCATCCATATTTTAAAAAAGTTTAATTTAAAATCTTACCAATTTGTGCTCCCAACAATCTCTCTTTCTTAAATTCCACTACTTTTTATAATATTGGCAACGTCAGCATAGCAACGCCGCCATCGCCATTTTTCTCTGTGTGAAAATTTTTATCAATCGAATTGAATTGTTGCGTGTGAAAATATAATTGCAATTTTAATTGAAAACTTGGATTTTTAACATTTTAAAACGCGTTTTGCTTGCCAAGAAGAGAAATGCGAGTAACGAAGAGTGATATAAGCTTAGAATTAGAATGTTGGGTTGAGGAATTATCCCCAGCACAATTAGCTGCATACGAGAAAGTGGCCAATGAGCATAATGCAATTAAAAATGCACTAAAATCAGCATTGACTAGCAATGAGGGTCGTGAGCTTTTCAATGGACAGGTATTTCAGGCGTATTCATTTAAGGGTAAAGTTTTACAGGAATTAAAAGAGGCCACATTACCACCGAAAAAACCGGCTAAAGTTGATGCACCTTCTACGACAGTGGGCGGCACACGCGGTGGTGCGCGTAAACGTCCATCTAACTTTGTATATTTAGAATCTTCGGATGAAGAGGAGGACGATGTGCCATTAGCGAAACGCATTGCAGTAGCTGCAGGCAAAAAAGGGTTAACGCCTGTTGCTAGTGGCACACTAGGAAACATTACAAAGGGAGCTAAAGGTCAAAAGGGCTTGCCCTCTACTTCGTCAGGGGCAATTGGTAAAAGTGGAAAAGCTGGTGCAAGCGGAAAAGGAACAACACCAAGTAAAGGTGATAAAAGCGCATCACCTACAACCCCGCCAACAAATTTCAAGCCATCAGAAATTAGTTCCGTCGGCGGTTTGGTTATCGGTACGGATGGTAAAGATGGAAAGGACGGTAAAGACCAAGGTAAAGAAACTAAACTTCAGGGCAAAACATTTCCATCTTTGGTGGTGTTGGCCAAACCTTGGCTCAAAGTTAAAGATATGTCAAGTACACGTAGCAAATTGGATTCCAAGGTAAAATTGGTGCTGATGTTGACACCAAACAAATTTACTGAATGGCTTATACAAGAGGGTCTGTTAAAAGCAGAACAAAAGTGCGCAAATCATCGCTCAAATGAGTTAAAATTGGGTGAGTTTATCGTTGTTGTTTGGAATATTACAAATAAATTGATATATTTCGTTTTTTTATGTTCAAATCTGAAAAGTTAATTTTCTTGGTAACTATTTAATAAAATCTTGCATTTTTAATTTCTAGGTGTTTATTCTGACGCCACAAAGTTTCCCTACACCGGCGGTTATGTTTGGATTAGTGAATGCTGTCCAATGCGTTTTGTTTCTGTATTTCACGGTTCCATATTTGAAGGCGCACCACATCCACCATCATGCATACTCAAACTAATTTATCATTGGTCGTGTCAGACAAATATACAAAACGTCGTACAGTGGGTTAAGGTAGACAATGTCTATATAAAGGGTGTTTATACTTGGCTGCGTGCAATTTGCACATTAGCAGTGCATCAAAAATGTAAAAAGCTAGGCGGACCAGAACGATTTGTAGAGGTGATTAAATGATTATTATAAAATATATACATATGTATATATTTTGTTTTGTTTGAAAAACTGTGTGATTACATATATTTATACATTTTTTTTTCTAGGTTGGTGTTATCTCGTTGGGCACCACATCGCAGGATGGTCAACAGCGTCAAGTGAAAGTTGAAGTTTTAGGCGTTCTTGATTATGCAGAGAAAACCATACGACTGCGTGCCGTCGAACCGGTATCCGATGCTGACCGTAATTATAAAAAACGTTTTCAGACTATACTGGAGCCACTGCAACGTTGGGTGCATAAAGACAGTGTTATTTGCATTGATCTAACTGTTGATAAAATGACACTATACTCCATGGGCTTCAAAAACATTATACAAGCTGCCGCAACCGATAGCTCTGCCAAGCACACAAACTCCGCCGTAATGGATTACTTGCGTCGCATTGTGCCACGTATGTTCCAGAATACCTTGTCCCTGCTGTCGCGTCAAATGATCCAACAATTTTTGGATGAATTAGTTTGGCGTGAACAATTCGGCACATATGCATTGCAGGCTTTCAACAACATAACCTCACATATTGCAGAACAGACACGTATGAACACTAATGAAACGCTCACGCAACGCTTGTATCAGGTGCGTAGTGCGCCGGGCGCCTAAAAATKTTAAAACATTACACATTCATACTTACATGTAAATATATTTTTAAACAGGTTGCAACGAATCCCTTCAAGGATTGGAGCGTGCTGCCAGCAAATTATCGAGAGACGCCCGCAAATACAACACCGAAACGGTTGAAAAAACGTTAGTACCACATTTTAGCACATAAGGATGGCGACTATTATTTAACATTTGCAAACATGTTTTGGCGAAAGTAACGCCAGGACGCTTATATACTGCAACTAATATTGGAATAATCTTTTAATATTTTTTTATTTGACTAATGTATAAATTTTATTTATTTTTATTTCCTCGTTGCAGCGCTCGTTTAAAACCACAAGATGCAAGTTTTTTTTGCTAAATCATGTCTTAGTTTTAGCTAATGTGCTTAATCCTCAGGCCTTATACCTCAACTAGTTGCTAAGTACCACTCGAAAGAGCAGTATATTGTGTTGTCATTACATTTTTATTGAGCGAAAATTGTTGCAACGTTATATGTTACGATATTTCTTAAAATATTTTCATATTTAGAGTAAAAAATCTTTAAATAATTTCAATTACTTAAATCTTTCATAATTTGTGCTAAAAATTATAAACTTGGTGTATGATGCTTGAAGGTTTCATTCCAAAACAAAAAAACATAATAATTTTTGTTCCAAAAAAGTGTTACTTTAAATTTGCATATAATGCCAAATTTTAATAATTTGCCCAGTCTTTTGTTGTTACTGTGTTTTTTCACTTAATTTTGGAAAAAACCTTCAATGTTGTTCACGTTGCATAATAGCTATGTAATAAAAAGAAATTAGTCGTATTTATATACAAAAAGCATAATATCTTATTTATAAATAAGTGTAGTGAAGTTAAAATAATGGCTATTTGATTTTAAATAAATTTCTTGTTTTATTAAAAACTAAACAAACAAGACAAGCTTTTCTATTTTTATTTTTGGTGCACATTGACGATATTTACTCTTGGATTGAAAAGTTGTGATTGTTAAAAAAGTCTTCATAATCTTAAAAAAATCTTAGAAAAATACTTAGCTTGTGGTATTATGCTTTTTGTATGCGATTTTAACGCAAAATTTGATAAACTAAATAACAGTTGAGATATAAAGGCAAAAATTTGTTTTGAGGTTAGGAAGTAAATATGTAAATAAGAATAGAAATTATTGACAATCAAACGAGAAGTTGAGCTAACAAACACAGAATTTTTCACCAGAATATTTTCTTCTTTAAATGAAAATTTCATTTACAGTATTCTCTCTTGCTCACCACAGCTATTTTTGAATTTCAAACGCTAATCCAGTTAGACTACAACAATTAGTCTTGATAATACTTCCCAAATTTCTATTTAAAATTTTTTGACTACAATCTTGTTTACAGCTATCAACGAAGCTGATTACGTTCAACCGGAAAAAGTCAACTTGAAGACTATTAAGAAAGAGAAACCCGATACACCGCGTCATGACACTTCATCGCCCGTTACAAGTGGTCGTCGCGGACGTCACGCAGCTGCTGCTGCAGATGATGATTACAAGCCGGAATCGAAGAAATCCTCGGCAAAAAATAGTAGCTCGTCAACGAGCAAAGTGCTACCAGCATCAAAATCCTCATCCTCTAAACATCATGCGTCTAGCGCTAGGTCAGAGCCCACTTCTAGCAAGAAATTGCTYGTCGAGGCCAARGTAAAAAAAGAAAAGGATCTTGAGGACGATTTAAAGGGTATTGAGGAATTATACTATGGCGTACGTGATGGTTTGGATGTAAATTTCGAGAGTTTTCCTTACAAGAATGACGCTGGCGCTGTTGTTGAGGCCACCAGTGTTGATTGCCCCATTTGCGATCTTACTGAGTCATTCGATTCAAATGAGAAATTACAAACACATTTAGTCTCACATATTATTGCCGATAAGGATCATCAGTTCCAATGTCTATTCTGTTTGGATAAACATCCCAGCGAGTCGGTACTCACTAAACACAATCAAATTATGCATCCACTCGAAACGAAGTCTGCTGCGTCAGCTTCTTACCACTGTTTGATCTGTCAGCAACGCTTCAATTCGTTACATCATTTAACGGTGCATTTGCAGAAGATGCATAATATGTTGGAATTGCCATATGTTTGTCAGGCATGTGGCTATCGTTCATCGTCGCATCGTGATGCAGTGCGTCATTTCTATGATGATCATAAAAGTCAGAATTTCTTGCAATGTCCATTCTGTTTGGATGTGAGTAATGCAAAAAAAATTTAGTTTTAATTGTCATAAACTCATTTTTCATTTTATTTACATTTTTTGGCAATTACAGATTTTCCGTTTCTCCTACAAAGGACATGTTAACGTTTCCAACATTGAAAACTATTTTATGCATCTTCGTGCCCATCTTAATAAGAAGGATATACAATTGCGCTGTCAAAAATGTGCACTCAGCTTTATCGAAAAGGGTAAGTGTTGAGAATTTAAAATTTTTTAGRTTATGTTTCATTTCATATTTTTTCCAAATAAATTAATATTCTCCATTGCTTGTGTTTTCAGGTGCATTAAAGCAACATTCGGCCAATCATCACACTAGCCTTTTGAAGAGCACGCAAAAGGTGA